AAAGCAAGCAAACATAAATATTAGAGGACTCTAATCTTGCAGAAAGATTATATGGTCATTTGGCAAGGCAACAAAGCTGTGAAAACTATCTTCAAGGTCAGCAGGCTTGACGAACTAAATATGTGTTTCTCAGTTAGTTATTTGCACTTAACATCTGAATCTGGGTAGGTAAACAAAGCGACATCCAACTTATCATGAGATTGTCCACATTAGGAAAGCACCGACATGTAGAATCATTCTTCTCAAACTAAACATGAAAAAAGTTATTCTACATCATTGTTAAGAAGTATGAAAATCCGAAAAAAATAGTAAAAAAAGAAAAAATGTTTCTACCAGATGTTTACCACAATGAATCATATCAGGGTCCTATTACAGAAGCTAAGATGGGAAAGAATAAATTATGAACTAATAGAATTCCCTTACATTACATTTTTGTATAGAATTTTTGCTGTCTATGAATTGAAAAAAGCATTAAAATATTGAATACCTATTTAAAGAAGCCATATACCAATGGAACAGTCGACACACTATTGTTGAGGTGAGTGTAGATTCTACGAGTTAAGAACTCATTCCAAACAAACATCTATAATATAAAACAAAGCGGTTTCAACAAACAAATCCTACAATCTTAAATTAATTCATCCAACGGCCACCAATTTTTCCTTATTTCCCCCCAAATTCACCTCTTTCCACTCATATTATTTTTTAAAATCAGACCTCTCAGTCATCTCATTTGTCTCAAGCCATACCTCTTGCTTCATTGTTATTTCTTCTTCCCCCCTGGGCCAGTCCTTACTTTCTCTCTCTCTCATGCCCCAGCAACACCACCAACGCCACTTCATCAGTAGCAGCACCACCATCGCCGCTACTGCTAATCCCTTCCAGGTATCCGTCATCTCTCTCTCTCTCTCTCTAACACACACACACACACTAACCCCCATCCTGCCCCCATATCTTCTTTGAATGGTTCAAATTGCAGCAAAAGTGGGTTGAAGCTCAGATTGAACACTAAATAGTTTTTTGTGATGTTGTGAAGATGTTCGACATGGAGGGTGTTGAAAATTAGGCTGACGATGAAACACACAAAAACAGAAAGGGTGATCTGGTCAGTAATGATCATCTTTGCACTTCGCATGTGTGCTGAGAACCTCAAAAGTCTTCAATGGTTGGTAATTTTGAGGAAGGGTGTGTGTGTGTGTGTGTGTGTGTGAGAGAGAGAGAGAGAGAGAGAGAGAGAGATGAGCGATACCTGTGATGGATTAGCAGTGGCCGCGGTGGTGGTGGTGGTGTTGCTGGTGGTGTCGCTGGGGCATGAGAGAGAGAGAGACTGACTGACTGACTGACCGACCGGGGGGAAGAAGAAATGACAATGAAGCAAATGCATGGCTTGAGAGAGATCTGATTTTGAGGGAAAAAAAAGAAGATAGAGGGAAGTGGCATCTCTCAGATGAGGTGACTGAGAGGTCTGATTTTAAATAATAATATGAGTGGAAAGAGGTGAATTTGCGGGGAAATAAGAGAATATTGATAGCTGTTGGATGAATTAATTTAAGATTGTAGAATTTGTTTGTTGAAACCGCTTTGTTTTATATTATAGATTATAGATAATTCGTGCCTAAAATTACGATGCAATGTTAAACATGAGCGTCCAAAAAATTGATCCTACTATATTAAATAATATATTTTTTCCTTCTTTTTTTTTAATTTTATAATTTAAAATTAATTTTATCCATTATTTTTAAAATAAAATTGACAATTTTTTTTTTCAAATACAATGTGTACACTATCTTGTATGAATAATGCATATAATAAAATTATATTTTTTTATAAATGAATTAAAAATTAAATTATTCAATTTGTGATAAAAATGAGTGATGTGATAGAAACGAGAAAAAAATTAATTATTTTATTAGATAAGTAAGACAACACAATGAAGGTTAACGAATTAAACTCTATTAGGAGATACCTTATTACCTCCTAAAGGTATCGCAACGGTGTAAAATAAAAAACAGAATAAATCAAGTCAAAATTAGATAGCTCGATTTATTTGTTAGTTATTTTAATAAATTGTATTATTTTCTAATTCATGTTTTTTAGTAATCAAATTTAACTTCTTAATCTCGTATTAAATTCAAATAGTGTCCAGATTATGGTACAATATACAAGAAAAAAAGGATCCAAACCCAAAACGCTGCGTTTCTCTTATTGAATGCTGTCGTTTGGAATCTTTGGACTCATTTTAAAACTCCCTCAAACTCCTAAACGATGTCATTTCCACGTTTTCTCACCTTCCTTTCTGTAATTATCAACAGCATCAACCTCCTTCGCCTTCTTCTTTGACCCCTCTCTGTCTCTCACCGAAGTGTTCTCTGCAATGAGTACCTGCAAAACCCTAGTTCGTACATATATTTCTTGCCTTGAATGCAGAGTCCGAAGCCCTCATCGACGAACTTCCTCTTCTCTCTCTCTTCCTCACCTCTGTGCATTCTCATCCTCTCCTTCACCTCATCTTTTGTTCCTCTCTCTCGTCTCTCGAAATCCTGGTGAAATTCTCTACCTTTCCTATTTTTTATGCGTTTGTGTATTCGTCTGTCGATTATTATTCCCCAATGTATTTTCTGCGTATGTTTAATCGATCCTTGTACTGTTTTGCCTTGTTTTCTGTTCGAAAAAAGTTAGGGTTTAGACTCCAATCCTATAGAGCTCATTTAAGATGTTGCAGCTTCATTGAAGAAGCAATTCCTTTGGAAACCACAGAATGTACGGACGAAACAATCACTCAGCTCTTAACCCTAGAACCGCCGGAGGAATCAGGTAAAGACTCGGTCGAAGAGTTGCTTTTGAAAAGCGACGACGTTTCAAGATTAATGAAAATGGAACGCAGGTCTGATTTGGATAGTAAAGACCAGTTTAACCAATCGAGGCGTTGGTTTCCATATCTCGATAAATTTGATGCAGGAAGTATGCATTTGAGTGGCGGTGAAGTGTTGGAAACGCTCGATCGGCCTATTGGTCAGTCTGATGAACTTTTAAGGCTATACTCATATGTAAGGCATCAAACAGTGGGGATTCGTAGTTCAGCCATTTTATTCGGTTTGAAAAGCTGTATTGAGTTGGGTGACTTAGAATTTGGAAGAGGTATTCATACTGATGCTCTCAAGTTTGGATTAAATATTAGTAAGTTTGTGGGGTCGTCTCTCATAGGGCTGTATTCAAGATGTGGTGATATTGAGGAAGCAGCTAAAGCGTTTGATGAAATAATTGAGAAAGATATTGTTGCTTATACGTCTTTGATTACGGGCTATGCTCAAGTTGGTGATCACCGAGCATATGAGGCTTTTAGAGTTGCTTATCATATGCAGAAGGAAGAAATTGATCCTAATCGGGTGACACTAGTGAGCTTACTTCAGGCAGCGTCAGAGTTAGGAGCATTAGAAGAGGGTCAATCAATTCATGGGTATGCTATTAGAAGAGGAATTGGTTGTTCAGATGAAGTATTTGAAACAAGTCTGATGGACATGTATAACAAGTGTGGGCCACCAAATATGGCGGCCACATTTTTTGCTAGAATGGGCTCGAGAACGGTGGGTTCCTGGAATGCTTTGATTTCTCGTCATCTTCAGTTGGGGCAGCCCCTAGAGGCATTGCATCTTTTCTTTCAAATGGTCCAAAGAAATTATGAGCTTGATTTGATTACTTTAGCAAATGGGCTTTTGAGTTGTGCTGACTTGGAGAATTTGCTTGTAGGTAAGATCATCCATGCTTATATTGTGCGAACTGGTGCTCAACTTGATATTGTTGCTACCACAGCTCTGATTGATATGTATTTGAAATGCAACCATTTAATCCTGGCCAGGGAAATCTTCGACAGAATTGAGGAAAAGGACGTTATCTCATTTAATGTGATGATAGCTGGTTATCTCCAGAATGGATTTGCTTGTCAGGCCATTGAAGTATTTTATGAAATGGTTGGTATAGGTATTAGACTGAACCCAGTCACCATTATGAGTATACTTTCTGCATTATCCGATCTAAAAGATGTAAGACAAGGCAAGTGCATCCATGGATATGTGTTTAGACGTGGGTTTGGATCAAACACGGAAATTGCTAATCAGATCATTTACATGTACACAAAATGTGGTTTTGTACAGTGTGCGAGCCGAATCTTCAAAAACATAAAACGTAAGGATTTGGTGTCATGGACATCAATGATGATGGGTTATTTGCACCAAGGTCATGCCGATGAAGCTGTAACCTTGTTCCGGCTAATGCAAAGAGAAAATCTGAGTCCCGACTCTGTCACATTAATATGTCTGCTTCAAGCATTTGCTCAGCTTGGATTTCTAAATCTAGCAAAGGAAGTTCATTGTCTTGTGCAGCGCGTATCCTTGGACATAGGGATACCTGTCATTAATTCTCTGATTACTGCTTACAGCAAATGTGGAAAATTAGACATGTCCAGAGTTTTATTTGAGCACATGGCTGGTCGGTGTTTGGTCTCGTGGAACACAATGATTGCTGCATATGGAATGCATGGAAGATGTGTCCAGGCTCTCAAATTGTTTGACCAAATGAAAAAGGAGAATGTTGTACCTGATGACTTAACCTTCAGATCAGTACTTGCCGCCTGTAGTCATTCTGGCTTGGTAGAAGAGGGTCTGCATATTTTTAGATCCATGAAAGAAGAGTACTCAATGATTCCATCGGAAGAACATTATGGGTGTATGATAGACTTACTAAGTAGAGCAGGACGGCTTGAAGAAGCTTATGATTTGCTGCGATGTCTGCCACCAAGACAAAGTGCTTCTGCACTTGGTGCTTTGCTTGCTGCTTGCAGAGTTCATGGAAATTCTGAGATGGGGGAAACTGTGGGAAGGTGGCTTTTGGATTTGGAGCCTCAAAACCCAAGCACATATGGTTTGGTGTCAAATATTTATGCTGGAGGAGAGAAGTGGAAGGAAGCAGCCCAAGTAAGAGCTTTGGCCAAGGAGAGAAGTCTTAAAAGGACTCCTGGCTATAGCCTGATAGAGTTCAGATAAACAGGTATTGAAAATGGAACGCAGGTCTGATTTGGATAGTAAAAACCAGTTTATCCAATCGGGACGTTGGTTTCCATATCTTGATAAATTTGATGCAAGAAGTATGCATTTGAAGTGGTGAAGTGTTGGAAGCGCTTGATCCGCATATATTGGATGTGTGGAAGGAGAGGTTTCGGAATTTGGCAAAGAATCGGAGCTATTCGGTGTGTTTGGTGGTCGAGGGATTGTGTGATTTCGGGAATGTTTCTGCAACATTTTGGTCAGTGGATGCGCTAGGGTTCCAGTCAGTTCATGTTGTGCCCTGCGACAGCTCGAAAAGGTGCAACAAGATTTGAGGTGAAAAATGCCTTGATTTTACAGGAGAATTACTGTGTTTTTTGTTTCAAATTATGACTTTGTTTAGTATAACAATTTATTGTTTGATATAGTATTCAGAGTATATTGCATTTGATTGGACCACCAGCGCACTAAAATTTGCAAGGTTATGTTCAGGTGGCTCCTGGAGAAAGTGTGATACTTGCATTTTGGTTTGGATAGAGGTTGAAGTATTACACCACTCCTCAGGAATTAGGAATTGTGGAAACACTTGTTTAAATATTATCCTATGCTATAGGGTCAGTTGTAAGATTTTACAAGAGATGCAGAATTATGTTTGTAATGAGTTTTATGAACACTCTAGCATGCTGTAGAACCTGTACTGATTCCTGAAAGTTTCTTTGGGCAGCCTAGGTCTTCCCCAATTTGCAAAATTGAAGCTTTAAACTGAAAGGGTAGACCTCCCTTATAATGAAATACCCCATGTGACTTGCAGGTACGGAGACAATCGTCATGTGAGCATGGGAGGTGAGAAATGGTTAGATATCGAACTTTGGAACTCTACCGAGCGGTGCTTCAAAGTTTTAAAATCACGTGGTTATCGTATTGCCACAACGCATGTGGGAATGGATGCGGTACCAATAAATCATGCTTCTTCTGTTTCTGAAATTCAGTAATCATAAAGTTGCATTTTTCTATATTTCACCAGTGCAAAAGTTCTCTTTTTTGAGCATAAATATGACAGAGGCTCTGGTGCTTTGTGCAGGTTTCCATTTATGATATGGACTGGTCATGCCCAACCGCAATAGTTGTTGGAAATGAAAATAGGTGACTACAGTTGTTCTCGCTAGTTCTTTTTCGATTTTAGACAGACTTTTGCATTTGCACAATTTGGAAGCTCAAACAATTTAAAGCAAATAGATTTATTTAGAGGCTGGTTCAAAATATGTTTCCTTAGGCTCAAATCCAAATGAACCCTCATTGATGTATTAAGTGTGGGAAGGCTGTTGATATAAATGAAAATGCTACTCATTGGCGTATGTGAAAATTTAAAACAAGTATATTTTTAATGTTCGGAAATTATGAAACAATTTTATTTGGATTTTCACATTAAGTTGGAAAAATTCCTATTGTATCAAATTTTCAATTCATGTGATTAATCCATACTATTTTTTTTTGTCGTTTTTCAAACTATTAGTTTTTTGATGATGAAATGAAGTTGATTAATTAGGGTTTTAATATGACTTACCAGTTGATACCATAATTAGCTGTCTACTGACCTTACTTCATCCAAAATCTGGTTTCGCCTCTGCTTGCTGTTTTGAAAGTGATAAGATTTACCTGTGCATTCTTCCTGTCTGTCTTGAAATGCTACCTGAAAGAATGGATAGGCCTGCCATACTAGTCATTGTATCAGCTCGACCTCAACATTGGAAAAATATTCTTCTGATTCATAAATTATTGATTATGTTCAGTCTCTTGCTTGCATTAATACTTAAGTGATGTAGAGTCATTTTCTGTCTTCAGTTAACTCACAAGTTTCAATCATCAATGTAGGTGTTAACTGGAAAAATGTCTAAAGATCATTCCCAGTTTACATCTGTCAAATGGATTGTTGCACGTCATTGATAGCGAAATGGACATTTTGATCATTTCAATTTCTCACTTGCTCAGGAAAGACAAAAGATATTATACCAGTTCTGGTTGTGGTTTATCTAGCCCGTATATAAGACTCAGAATACCAGTGAAGTAGGTTGACTCGAACATGTTTTCAATGCTTGAATAACATCATAGCTGGTAAGCTTATATTGCATTCAGTAGTGTTTCTCCGAAACGCGAACTTGAGCACATGTTTTGCTATGTGGAGTAACGTAAACCTTTTTTTGGGAGTATAATCATCTTAATCAAAAGTTACAATTTGAAATTGGTGAATTTCTGATCCCAGTGGGATAAGCAACGAGGCTCTGGAGTTGTCAGATCTGCATTGCAGTATTCCTATGAAAGGCATGGTGGATTCTTTCAATGTTTTTGTTGCTGCTGGCATTCTCATGCACCATGCCGTCTGTGACAGGACTTCTCGCTTGGTAATAACTGGCTTCCAGCACAAACTATGGTTTTATTTTGTGCTAAATTTCATGATCCCAAAATTGATCACTTTGGCGAATGTTTTCATTTTGCTTTGTAGTGGATGATCAGTTGCTATACAGGATAACTGGAAATTACACATTGTGTGTCCATTATAAATCTTAAGACATTTTGGAGTTCTGTTTACCAGTTGGTAGTAAGGTCGTTCCTTTTCCAAGATGTGACAGCTTTACTTGTTTTCATACTACGTAATTTATGTTTACTCTTTTTTTTTTCTCAATTTGGTCCGTTATAGAAGTAGTTGTACTATTTCATTCATTGGCATCTACTTTTTGGGAATCTCATTGGTTTATATTCTTTTCAATACCATTTTTGTTAAGACGATGGTGAAACATCGCGAATTTTTGGGTGAGCACATTCGTATCTGATATGGAAAATATGTCCTTTAGTTCAATGATGTGAATTATACACATATCTAACTCGAAATTATATCATATATAGTGAGTTGAAAATGCATTTGGATTCCAGTTTACAAAAAAATGTTCATTGTTGTGTACAGGGTTGTCATGGTGATCTAACATTGGACGACAGCCAAACTCTTCTTGAGGAATTTTATCTGCATCACTGCAAGAGTGCAATTAGTATTGCCAAAGAGTATGCGAACAGGAAGTTAACCAGGTCCACGACAAAGCTTTGATAAAGGCATCAACGGTCTAACCTCTGGATTTCCTGTTGTAGAATATTTACATATAGTGGCTCCAGAAAATCTTACAGGTGCTGTTTTTGCTGTCATTTTATTTATTGTTATACCCACCGAAATGCGTAAGATGTAGCAAAATGTAGCAAAATTATATGAATAACATGTGTGCATTGCTCATGTAGTCCTAGTTTTTTACGACCAATGCTTAAGATGTATCAAAACACGTGAATAACATGTGCATCGGTCATCTAGGCCTAGTTTTAGAAGTTAAAAGTGTAGGAATGGAGAATGACATTGCAGTATACATGGTAGAATTTGATTTGCCTCTACTTGATCCAACATTTCTAACCATCTGCTTAGGGAACTAAGTTTGACCAGTTGTTATTTTCTCCCAAGGAAGCATGGATAACGGTACGGCATGACATGGATACGATAAAATATTAAAAACTAGAATACGGGTACGATCCAATGCGTTTATATATCTATATAATATTACAACAAGGAAGTTGAATTCTCAAATTATAGAATTACAACACCGGTCAAGATTGATCTAATTTTTAACTACTTCGATCTAATGGTATAAAATTTATCCCAAATTATTTTTTCTTGCTCAAAAATATCATTTATTGCATGAACCCCAATACTAGACAACTTCTAATTCACACCTCTCCGGATTGCTTTATCATGCTTTGAATCTAATATTCTATATAATTCTAAAGTTAAGCATGAGTCACCTTTTAACAGTTTTCAACTTTTACTTAGTATTTAATTGTGATCGGCTTCATTGGTTTTAGACATAAGTTATAAAAACTCGTTATTCTGGTCAATCACTATAAAGAATTGACAATGACATATGCGATGCAAGTTCAAATGAACATCTTGGAACAAGAAATTCTCATTTATATGATTCATGAGTTCTATGTAGCCCAGCTCATTAAGTATAAGACAAATGTGTCTCCTATGGAGAAATCTCTATTCAAAGTGTATCTGACAAGTATCGAATAATGATATATATTTTATTAATTATTTGATATGTGTGGAAAGTATCTGGTAAGTATCCACTAGTATTCAACCAGTATCTGTATCCGATATTGGATACAGATATAGCTTTGTCTTTAGTAGCTAAACGAAAGAATGCAATATGAATCTGTTATACACAAGAATGCAATTACAGAAAAAGATGGAGTTGTTTGCCTAGTGAAGAAAACAAAGTGTGAAAATCGTGACCATTGCAAGGAGGTGGCAGATGCGGTCAGATGCAAATCGATCTCCTGGAGCCTACTATTTAGTTGCCACTTATCTCTTCACACAACTACCTTTCTCAAAACAATTTAGCACTCGAATAAGTAAATCACTGCCATGTTCCAACCCAGAATTCCATTCTAAATTTCCACCCCTTCTCTCCTGAGGGAATCTCCACAGCGGTGTAATTATTTCAAAAGCATGGTTAGAGAGAGAGAGAGAGAGAGATTTACCTATAATATCTGTGGGTAGTTGTTTTATCAATTTTGACAGTGGATTTTGAAGGTCTAATTGATCGTGAAACGACTTGATGGAGAATATTTCTGCCCCACTGCTGAGCAATGTGGATGTAATCTTGCTTATAAGTGCACAATTTGATGTCATCCTCTGCTTCAACTGATCTCGCATTGCAACTTTATTCAACTTAGCATTTTCCAGTTGATATCTTTATGCATTTCGATTTATTTCACCATGGTAAACCTTTTCTCCCCAAGGTTGTACTTTAGTTTGTCATACAATATGATTTCTATATACCACATGGGAAGACCTTGGTAGTTATTTTTGTGCAATAGCAGAAACTTTTGGCTTGGCATACGGCGAACAATTGTAAATTGTTCAGTGCACTACGATCTATTCCTCGAAGGAGTGGCATGCAGTCAATAAACTCCTACTTCAAAATAATCAAATGCACGGATTTCTGTCAATAGGAGGATTTAGGGAGATCATTTGTATGCAATTTTATCCTTTGCGTAAGCATAGACTGTTTCAGTGACTTATTTGTGATGCTGAGATCATAAAGAAACTACTTTATCATTGCTTCAAAACCATGATCACTTTGCTGATCTTGACGCATCCTTCATGGTAGAAATCCTAGGTAAAGCGGGTGGCAAAGGTCAACCGATTTTTTCCGCCGCCTTGTTTTTGTGCACACACAGATACGCACCCCATGTATATTCACAACAGATACGCACCCTAATTTACATTTACAAAGACCTAATCAATCAATGTCACTCTGTCAGACGTTGTTTATATCATACTCTAACGTTGTATTTGATTAGTGGTAATGAAACATGAGAATGAAATGACCATTACTTAGTAATGCTCGTTCCAATATTTAGTACATAGTAATGACAATTCATTCCATTCCTAAGAAATAATTAATGCCACAAAACATGGGATTACTCACTACCAAATAAGACATGGTATTACCCATTCATAACACAAAAAAACCCGACTATTCCCCATCCCCCACTGTTTCTTTTTCTCTTCGTTTTCTTTTATCGGCTAAGCGCCCTCCCTGCCAAATCTCTTCTCCCTCTTCCACTCCTCTGCTCGATTCTCGACTATTCTCCACCGAGACCCATTGGGTGAACAAGTTAAATCAGTTGAATGATATTATGTCTGAAACCTGTTCGATGATAATCCTAAATGAGAAAACATACATTGTGTGCGGTTATTGTTGTTGTTTTCATTTTTGATTTTTTTTTTCTGGTATAGTTCATGTGTCAATTGTTTTGAAGAAATATTTTATCTCCAAATTTTTTGTCTTTATGCTTCCAAGAAACTATTAATAGAGGCAGTGATGAAGAAAAAATATACCATCAAACTATGAAAGCTTGCCTTGTGGATGTTATCCAAAATCATTACTCTCTGAGCCTTTTTTTGTTTGTTTGTTTTTAATATTAGATTTTCTGTATCATGTTATAAATTGAGAGGTGTTGGGTTGGGTGATCCTATTTGAAATGATGTAAGCTAAGCTCTAAAGGCAACAAATTAGAGTCTCTGATGCACTTTTTATAATAGTGTTTTCAGTGCTGTACGTTGCCGACAAGGATATGGGAACGGAGATTCTGGCATTATCTTCCTTTTTCTGAGGTCTATGCATTCAGATGTTCCTACATTTTTATTATACTCTCTTTTTTTTGAAGGTTTAGGGTATAGGATTTTCGAATAAATACACAAGATGACATGTGTTTGAGTCTCTAAGATACTGATATGGAGAAAACAGAGGACATGAGATAAAGTGTGAGGATCAAGAGTCAACAAATGATGAGTGAATGAGAGTTGAGTGGGAGTAAGAGAAGAATGGACATAGTCGGTGATAGGAAGCTCTCGATTGAATAATTCATGAACAACAAAAGTCTAAAGAAAATTCCTCAACATTTGCATGCACCAAGGCCAGGTAGATCTCCAAAACAATTGAATATTCTTCACATCAATGGTAAGTACTGACTCCCAGAAGAAGTTCAACATTAATCATTGTCCACTTTCTGTAGTAGATAGACACTGATCTAATCCGTAGCGGTTTGATTGTGGCTCGCCTGAGCACCCCCACTTTCGTTCAATCCCATTACATCTAGAACAATGTTGACATTTGACAAATACCCATTTCTAAAGCAACTAAAAATGCCTCTAAAGCAAAGTCCATACTTACTCCCACTGGATTTTTGCTCAACAGGCAATCATTTTGATATCCCCCAAACTCCAGAGGAGGAGTAGAATTACTCTATTACAATGATTAAATTTTTGGTGATCATGTTACTGTTTGATGTTACTATTTTTTTGTTGAATATGTTATTATTTTGATGTTATTATTTTTTTTGTTGAATGTGTTATTATTTGATGTTACTATTTTTTTGTTGAACGTGTTACTGTTTGACGTTTACTATTTTTTATGTTAAGTTTGTTACTGTCTGATGTTATTATTTTTATGTTGAGTATGTTACTGTCTGATGTTACTATATATGTATATGTGTGTGTGATGGCAAGGATTGAAATTACAAAATTTTAGAATTCAAAAAGTTTTAAGAAATATTTGATTTTAGAAATTGTCATTAATGACTCTTTGGTACTATTGATTCCCAAAATCAGAAGTCTCTTCATCTTCTTCATCTAAAAGGGCTTTTATGAATTGTTTTTTACAATTGTACTTCTATCCCAAATATTTTAAAAAGTGTACTTTTGTCCTATTAAGTTCTTAAAGAGATACCGGCCTCCCTAAGCCCCAAAAAAAATTGTTATTAATTATTTTCGGTCACTTTGGATACTTTAGTTAAAGTTGATTTCATTCCAATGAAAAAATTGTTTTATCTAAACATAAAAATGGAATGAACATTCTATTCCAGCACTTAATCTTAAATAATTGTCAAACATTAGAATGGTAATGTGCATTCCATTCCATTCTCAAACTCATTTTAGTCATACCGAAAAATATTACTGCGTACCGAACGTAGCGTTAGTGGTTTGTATGTTCAAATCTTCTCCATGTCGCTTCTACTATAGATACCTGATGGATTCTTCAATTTTTGCCTTTAGCTCAGTGTTGGGAATCAACATGTCCGAAGTAAGACGGGATCAATTAAATGGGTCGCTCTGCAATTCACAGCATTAGAAATAGAGAACCATGACTTTTAATGGACAAATATTAGCCAAGTAGAAGTGAAGAATGTACAATATCACTTACAAGATGCCTCTGAATGCCGTGATCCCGGGAAGAAGGTAACATAACTGGATCCTTCATCAAAGTGTAGTGCAATCATAACAGATTCATTCAAAGAGGTTAGTTACCCGTCTTTGATTTATAGATTTGGTTTAGTGAGAATAGCTCTAGTCACTACAAAAAAAATCGTTTTTTGCGACGATTTTTTTCGTCGCTAAATTAAAAAAAATCGTCACCATTTGTTTTGTCTGACGTTTTTTTTTTTCATCGCAATAATCTCGTCGCAGAAAGTACTTTGCGACGCAAATTTATTTTCTTCCGGAAAAAAAAAATTTCGGAACGAAATAAAATCGTCGCTAAAATATATTCCACCAGCTTTAGAATATAAAAAATATTAATTTAATTACTTTTTCACAACGTAAAAAAATCGTTGCAAATAATTTTTTCATAAATAAAAATGTAAAAAATTATAATTTAATTCATTTTTAGCAACTTAAAAAAATCGTCGCGAATAATTTTTCCATAAATAAAAAATGAAAAAAATAAATTTTTAGCGACATAAAAAGGTCGTCGCGAATAATATTTTCATAAATAAAAAATGCAAAAAAATAATAATTTAATTCATTTTTGGTGACGTA